GGGGGGGCGCGGCGGGCGGCGTTCCCGGGGGGGGGCGCCTGCTCCGCGGGGGGAGCCGGGCAGGGGCCGGCCGGCCGGCAGCATCCCGGGACGGGGGGACAGCAAGCGCCCTGCTCGTCCCCGGCAGCCGCACAGGGTCCCCGTCCTCCCGCGCCCCGATGTCCTCGGGCTCCTGGGTCCCATCCGGCCCCACGCAGCCTCCGGAGCTCGCTGCGAGAGGGCAGGGGGTCAGGGTGGCCGGGGGGGGACAGCAGCCCCAGGAACCCGCGCCCCCGCAGCCTCCTGAGGCAGAGGAGGTAGGGGATGCCGGGAGCGCGGTGGTTTCGGCAGAGGTTTCCGGAGGTTTCGGCTTTGTTTTGTAGATGAAGGGAAATTCCTGGGCAGGCAGAGCCCTGCCGCAGCCTTCCCACCCGGTGTGTCACCCTCCCGGGGCTCCCAGCCCCCCAGGGCCAGCACATGGGGCACAGCACAGCCCCCCCCAGGACCCCATGCTGCGTCCCCCCGCGCTGGATGCGGCCCAGGCCCTGCACCCCCGGCCGGGCGGCAGGACGGGGGGATTAGCGGGGCTAAGCCAGCTCCAGCTGGAGTGAGGCCGCCTGGGCTGAGCAGCCGGGAGAGCCGGGAGGGGACGGGGAGCAGGGCTGGGGGGCTGCGGGAGCGGGGGGAGAGGTGGAGTGGGGCGAGGAGAGCCGTGCCCCACGCCAGGGCAGGGAGTGAGCCCCGGGGCGACGGCGGGGCCCCTCACAGCAGCAGCCGTGCCTGGAGGGCAGCAGCGAGGGCCACTCCCAGCCACGATGGCGGCGATAAGGGACACCATGAGGGACATCAGCAGGGCCGGAAGGGTGCCAGCCACCCCGGCAAGCGGGGCCGGGGCACAAGGAGCCCGGGGGAGCCCCCAGCCCTGCTCCCCACCAAAGGGCTGGGTGGCACAGCAGGGTCCAGGTCCGCAGGCTTGCTCCAGCCCCAGCTCAGGGGTCCCTCCGCGCAGAGCCCGCAGGGCACCGTGCCTGCTCGATGCAGCAGTGGAGCCCCACGGCCGGTGCCCGGGCCACATGCCGCCCGCAGAGGGGTCTTACAGCGGCATGGCCGGAACCCAGCCCCTGCCCATGGCGGGGGCCTGGCAGAGCCCAGCTCCGCTCCCGGCAGCCTGGCAGGAGCCGCCCGGCAAACCTGGCCAAAGGAAGCGGGATGTGGTGTCCGAGGCAGGCAGAGGTCAGGGCCTCTCCTGGCATGGTGAGAGCACTTACCGCCGAGGAGTGCTTTTAGTGCTCTGCGGCCATTAGGCAAGTGCTGGCTCCGGCCGCGGTTCCCGAGCAGCCCCGCTCCCGCGGGATGCTGCCGAGCAAACCGGGCAAACAGGCCCGGGCAACGCCGGGCCAAGAGCCGGTGGCAGCGAGCTCCTGCCTCGGGCCGGGACGGCCAGACTCTGCAGCCCACGGCACCACGCTCTTGCTCAGCGCCTGAGAAGGGTGGCCCTGGGGGCAACCAGCCTCATCGCCAGCCCGGCGCCAGGCACCCACCCTGCGGGCACCCAGCCCTGCCCTGGTGGCTGCCCCACAGCTGGACCAGAGGCACCGGCGTTGGCATCAGCCGCCACCAGCCCCGGCGGGGCCAGATGGGGTGGGCTTGGCACCGCCAGCCCCACGGCCCAGCCCCACTGCTGGGGGGCACCGCCAGCCCCACGGCCCAGCCCCAGAGCCCAGGGGGGCACCACCAGCCCCACAGCCCAGCCCCACACCGCGGGGACCCCGGCCAGCGCCACGGCCTGGGCAGTGCCAGCTGCCCCCGAAAAGCCCCGACCCCGCGGCCCGGGGATGGGGGGCACAGCCGGCCCCAGCGCCGGTCCCACAAGC